TTGTTGTCTCTTAAGATAGAAAAAATGCGATTTCTATCGTTAGAAAACCGCGAATTTCGCGCCGTTTCCGGAAATTCTCACGCGCGTTCCGATGCTAATGCTCAAGTTCCGTGCAATTGGGGTAGGTCGACGGATCATGCGTTGGTTACGCAATGGCAGGTGCCGCGGATTTGCGATCGTCCGCGTGATATTGGGCGCTGTCGGTCGTCGAACCCGCGCTATCTACGTTATTTAGCCGGCCCAATGTCGGCGCAATGTCGCGCCGGCTGAGTTCACAGACCGAGACTCGCTCCTCTCGCCGCCTCGTTCGACCGAATTTTTGTAGACGCTACCAATACTGCTTTTGTGTGCGGGTGTTGTACCCACCTCGGTTTTATTAGCAATGATTTGACATTTGGTGGGCTGTAATTTAATCGCATGTTAATTAACTAGCCTAGTTTTGTATCTATTTATACCAACGGTTGTACCAGGAACTGTATTTTGGACTAGACCTACCACAATTTATCACGAATGCGGATGCTATTTGGTTAGTGGAGTGATTTGCTTCTGTCTGTTTATTGAATAATTGCAAATTATGTTGATTGATTTATGCACTCGCCAATTATAATCATTAATCATTTTAGATTTTATCTCCATTAGCTTTATACTTACATCAAGTTAAAGCATAAAATACTTATTGCAAATTCATTGTAAATGATGTTTAAAAGTTATCGTAAGTCATTTAATATTGTACTTTGTACCTATAAACATACTTAATTATAGAAGTTAACAATAACTTTAGAATTTATGAGATTCTTTATCGAAAACTTAATCACTGCAGTATTTTCATTTTTCACATTTACTAATGTTCCGATGTAAACATGTTGGGGTTTTTGGGCATGCATGTTATTTTCTCATCTAAAATGTTCTCGAATATTTATATTCTCTTCATCGACTTCTCTATCAGAAATGTCTTTTATCTGATAATGTTATTATTCAGCGCCAACAGGTAATAGGCCATGGAACGAAAGCGAAAACAAACTAGCTGCGATAGATAATGGCTTGTTTTGATGACGCATCGCTCACAGCGCCCGACGTTACGGTAGGTTTGTGTTGACGACATCACGATGTTTGAACAAAGAACGTTCAATTTTAAGCCGCATATCTACGTTGATAGTGTTATTGTCTGTAGTTTATATCCTTGTCTCACATTTATCTACAAGTCCACTAAAATTAAACGTGTTTGTCAACAAACACGTTTATCCAAATATAGCGCAGGATCGTAAATATTCATCATCAAAAAACAAGGCCATTGCTGAAATATTAACATGTTTTTGTAATTTGATTAGGTCCTTAAAAACCGTTAGGGTTTTGTCGCAAATATTTGCATTCGAAGCGTCAGGTGCGTCATTTGAATTTCGAAATTGGGTATGGGCAGCAGTTGTTTGGCCATCTGCTGGTCTGGTATAAGTATACCGTTCAGCTCGGCAGTCGGTCTGTGGGGCCCGGGGCAGCACGACCTCGGTCGCGCGGAAACCGAGCGGCGGTCAAGGCCGCCGTCTAGACGCACCCCGGCCCGCGCACCCCGCCCACACAAACCCCCCGCCCTATCCTACCTTACCCCCACCTCTCTGACTATTTTCGTATCCACAGCCTACCCCGAGTTGGCCCAGGCAAAATTCCTATTATACAAACACTGACCTACGAGAATATACGTCATTATTTCCTACTTATACCACACTTTCAGACGTCATTTGGTAATGCAAACAAATCACATTAACAAGGCGTTAAATATTATTCCGAAAAACATTCTTTTCCGACACATTTGCTTGGCTAAAAATGAGATGTGACGTCATCGGCTGCCAGCAAGTATCTTGGCCTTGAGTCTAAATGTTAGATGCATAATGTGTGTGTGTAATATGCATCGAAAGCGTATTATATGTTCACTAATCGCCAGACCAGAGTTTTTGTCCGAATTTTCTGTCTGCGAACCTAAATTACTTTGCCTTTTAAAGTAGGTGGTTTTTGGCCTTATGCACCTAGGAGGCATTTAGTTTAACTCTTCAATATTAGTTTGGATACATCGAATTTATTCTGTAAACACTTGGAAGTTAATGAGAGACGACAATAAAAAATATTGCAGTAATAAGTAACATGCCACCCACGAAATTCAAATCCACAAGAAACCGCAAAATCTTTTACAATGCAATTAATGTTACCTAACAAAGGCGCGACATATAAAACAAACAAGTCTGTCTGATCATGCAGTGTGACTGTGCGCTAATGATTCAAAATCCAACTGTGCAAACAGCAATTCAGTGCCGAACGATTTTGTCATTTACGTACCTACTGCAAAGCCACTGGGTGTGCGACAACGTGCTATCGCTAAATAAGAATAAGATAACGCGTGGAAAAACACTCCACTCAAAAAAGATTTCAACGTTGAGGTAGGTCTAGGTACAATCTATCAAGCCGACTCTAGATATTTTTCACTTCACTGCCACGCAATATATTCCTAGCTGTATTTGAAATGCGCAGGATTCTATGAGCAGAGATTGAGCATGTTCATAACAAAACAGCTAACATTTTAGATTTATAATATTATACTCATTAGACATTCACTGCTTTACATTGCATCTGTAAATAAATTTCGCGCGAGTGTGTCCAATCACCCAAGGTCGCGAGTAAATTGAGTTTCAAGTTGATAAAATTGTGTATTTTAATGAAGCATTATCACCGTATACAGAGCCTTTTAACCTATATTGGAGTACAAAAAAGTTGCGACGCATAATTCTAGGCTTAAAACTTGAACACTTTTGGGAGGCACTCACCGCTGTGGTAATTACAAGCCTGATGGTTTCACGTTTGAATTACCTGAATTAGTAATGTCTAGAAATATGCGTCATACAAGTCTAGACTGCTAAGTAGTTGACCTATATTCGTTAGCTCTGATATTGACAGTTGCGTTGCGTTTATTAATGTAATAGAAGTTTCTAGAAGCCCCCGAAATTGATGAATTTGGGAAAATATTAATAACAGCAATTTCTGTCTGATGTCTAGAGCGCTTCTCTGAAGTAGAATATTAATTAATTCTCTGAGATTCAATTTCGTTGATCTGATTAGTATAGGTAGAGCTTGTTGATGTAGAAATTGGAAATTCTATTAATTTATTATCATCTTTAATATTCTGCTCTTTATTACTAGTATCTTCACTAATTAAACGTTCATTTTCATATGTTTCAAGGGATTCTAGTTCAAAACCTAAATATCTCACCTAATTTTGTTCTAAAACAACTCAGAAATGTATGCCAAATTTAAGATTGCCTTGGAATTGAACCCCGTTAGTGGAACTAGCCACGCTGTTGTCGCGCAAGTGCGTAACAGCACAACAAATTCTAGGATGGGCTAGCATCGTTCTAGAGCCTGCCCCAACTCCGGCGCGGTTACGTGCGTTGTTTGGCTCGGCAGTCGAATTGACGTTTATCTACGAAGGTGAGCTCGCGGGCGCGCGGTCGCCGACCCGCGACGTTTATTATTATGAATACCTATTTTTCATGCTAGCACACTGTTGAAACGCAGTAAGGAATCAGGCTCTAGTACACACTTTCTTCATGTTTGCTTGCTAACCGCGGTAATGGGAATTCTCTTGACGCCAGTGTTTATTTTTTACAACGTTTTAAGTTTTTGCGCACCTATTCCGGGAACGTTTATTTTTAATATGTTTTCGATAACCAGATCTTACCAAAATACATGTTGCCAGCTTTTACCATTGAGTGATGTACCAATTTGTATGTTATTATGCTAAAATAGTTGAGTATTAAATACGTTGTCAGTCACCGCTTACTGGCCTTGTGACTTGACCCATTTTCCACGCTTAACTCTACGTGGCCTGAATTTGGTATAAATTTTCCCATCAATATCGTGTATTGGAGATTGGCTTATTAATTTGTTGGGAAACTTTCGCGCAGGATTCATTTCAACTTAATCTGTAGAATTAGGTTTCAGATTTCTCATTTAAAGTTCTAGATTTGAAATCATCTTTTTTATTGAGTTATAATCTCTACTGCAAAGTTTTATATCGCAGAATACATAAAAAGAGCAGTTTGTCTTGCCAACTGCCTAATCATTTGATAGTCACGTTTTTAGATTCGTTCCCCCGTGTTTTTCTCCCAGTGCAGCGGATATGAAGTCATTGTCGTGTCCCTGAAAACCATAGACAACACTAAGACGGTGCGAAAGGTCATGGTTCTAACGAGTTCAGTAGTAATTCACGGATACCGTAGATTATGAAACAGAACGCAATTAGCGATGCACATTGTGTAGATATCACCACACTTAAAGACGCGCTTACGTCATCCTGTCTTTATCATACATAACACTGCAATGTCAAGGGGGCGTTGAACTCGCGCGCTGCATCCTTGAAACTTTTTTTACCTATATCGTAGATAGACACATTTTGTTTTTCCAACAAACGAATAATAAATAATCTAGATAGCGCTTGTTTTCGTTTCGACGCGATACAGAACTAGTCGTGGAGAATTTAATGACCAAGTGACCTTTATTTATTTTTGTGCCGGATTTCTATTTGATTTGGAATTAAAGCTTTTAAATAATGTTTGTTGAGACTATAGTGTGTATTTACTGTTTATGTAACTTAATCGTAGCAATTATTTTGCGTTCGGTTTTATGTAACTCTGCAATTAGCGAAATCTGTTGGAGGATTTGTTTTGATTCTTTTGTTATTCGAAGCTTGAGTGGAATTTCTTTATTGAAGATATTTTTTTCTCAGTCTCTCCTTTAATTTTTATGCAACACAATTTAGTAGTTACGATGATACAAAAAAACATTAATTTAATTAGGTCACAAAGTTTTAAATATCCATATTTTGGATATATGGATTGATGATTGATGGATTATGGATGGACTTTCACCTTTGATGTTGTGGATGGATTTTCCATGTTTACTTCTTCATCAATATACCTCACGCATTCTTTGCTTATAATAATATTACCTTGTTTCAGGTGCAGATGATGTCCGCTGTCAGCGGGGAGCCCATGCTGCGCCGAGTGAAGCAAGAAGCGGAGCCGCCACCACAGTACTCGTCGCCGGAGCCGCAGCCGCCGCAGCCGCTGCATCAGCGGCCGATACCGATGATGCAGCCGTCAGAGGTGAGTTGGAACATGTTGCTTCATGATCCCATGCTGCGCCGAGTGAAGCAAGAAGCGGAGCCGCCACCACAGTACTCGTCGCCGGAGCCGCAGCCGCCGCAGCCGCTGCATCAGCGACCGATTCCGATGATGCAGCCATCAGAGGTGAGTTGGAACATGTTGCTTCATGGTCCCATGCTGCGCCGAGTGAAGCAAGAAGCGGAGCCGTCACCACAGTACTCGTCGCCGGAGCCGCAGCCGCTGCATCAGCGGACTATCCCGATGATGCAGCCGTCAGAGGTAAGAAGTCAACACGTATTATAGATCGTTTCACCCACGAAAACACGACCCACCATTCTTCCGCTAATGTTTGAGTGTTATCGATACATTCTAAATTATCCATGACACTACAATAATGACGCTCGAATTGCTAGGATCGAAACTCCCCGCACCCCGCGCTTCACTCGACCAAAAATTGGTGGGGTGCGTCTTCGTGGATAAAACGGTCTATAATCAGAAACTACTTTAGCGAGAAGATAAACATGCAAGCAGAGATCTCGCTGTACAANGCAGCCGCTGCATCAGCGGCCGATTCTGATGATGCAACCCTCAGAAGTGAGTTAAAACATATTAAGCACAAACTACGTTTAAAGCAAGGAGGTTAATATGCATACAGGAGAAGTAAATACTACGTATAAAGCTAAATATGCAAGCAGAGAGTCGAGCCATTCCAACAGTCGCTTCAGTGGCGGCTGAATTAGATGATGCATCACGATTTTATTATATGAAGCACAAATTGCGTTTAAAGAATGGTCAGTTAATATGCAGATAGGATAGGAGGAACATGCAAGGAACAGATTTAGTCCTACAGCCGCGCAACAGCTGACTCAAGTAATGCAGTAGGTACTCAAAGATGAGATGAATCAACACAAGCACAAACTACGTTTAAAGCGAGGAGTTAATATGTTAGCAGAAAGTTAAGTCAGTCCAACAATCGTTTCAGTGGCCTATTCAGGTGATGCAGCCTTGAAGTTAAGAGGAAATTGCTGCGTGTGGTGCTGCTAGTAATATCAGCAGCAATTGGAGCAACAATATTTGCGTCGCTGTTGCTTGCCCCCACATAGCTCTGACATAGCCCTTTGTCTCTCCTCTTGGCAAGATGCGTAAATCATTCTCCCGCGAAAATGGAGCAAATGATACGTAGAAAGAACAATGGACATACATATTTGTCGGAAATATTGTCAATTTTTAGAAATGTAGCCGGAACTCCAGTCACACAGATTTTTATGAAGTCTTGATAATAATAGAGCAAGCTACCGGCTTGAGACAATAGATTGTCTCATTATTATTGTATTCATATTAACATACTTATTACAGTGTAAGCTATTTTAAATCTAATACAAATACACAATTTAATTAATCCATATCGAGACAGCTCAGTATTGTTTTGTAACAAAGTATAATGTTAATCTATGCTTGCTTTATCAAGTTTTCAGTTGATACGTGAGTCAGTGTGCGATTGCGATGCACTTGTATGCGTTATGTGCAACGAATAAGGCTCATAACGATTATCCGATAATATATCTTTGTCCTATATAAGTGACATATCTTTCTTTAGCGGTATCGAACAATTATATCGATTGATTGTATCGCATCGACTAAGTTAGTGAAATTTAACATTTAGGTATTGTATAGACACGTGAATCTCCGATTGGTTCCGCAAACTCGGTATCCCGTGCGTCAGTAACTCAGTATAAAGGTTCGGTCAAATTAACGCGTGCAGTCGGCGTGCACGATGGCGATGGCGATCAGACTTAAACGCATTGATCGCCATCGTCATCGCCATTGCGCTAGCTGGCTAATCGCGTTGATTTGGCAGAACATTAAGCGAAAAACACACTGAGGCGGTAAGCGGCCCGGTAGCGGACCTGCGGGAAGCGATAGTATAAGTCGCCACGCCTCCCGAGCCAGTTACATACCAGCTCGAAAATTACAAATGTCCCGCCCTCGAAACGCTCCTGATATTTTATTTTATTTAACGCTTTCCGCGCTTTGGGACTAATATCATCATCAATTTAAAAATGCCAATATGAGTTAGCAATATCATTGTCTAATTGTGTCACTCTCTAATAATACTTCTCGCTATAAGTTCATGACATTCTACAGTATGCAAATTACGCATTATTACTATACTATTTCGTAGTATTACAAGGCAAACAATACTATACATTACATTAGTATCGGTTTATACAAATAATATCTCTTTACACAAAGTTACAGCAGCGTTCATTGTGTCTAGTAAATTCTATTTATTTCATTACAGTTTCTCACTTCACAATTTTCTCGCTAAATATTTTTAACGGTTAAAACTACAATACCTATGTGCCTGTTATATTTTTTCTTACCTTAGCTAATTGAGTTCTTGAATTATGCTCTCTTAGAAATTTCGTGAACTCGTTATTGTTTTGTATTTTTCTTTCAAGTTAGTTTTTAATAGGTAAAGTGTTATACTCTTTAAAAGCACTTAACTACTACACTTTAAAGCACTCTATGCGGGTGAAGCAACATTTGTAAGACACCGCTCCCGTGCCCGAAATATGAGTCCCTTAACCCTTAAGTTGTGTCTAAGTTCTGTTATGTCCGTACAGACCTTTTTACTTAAAATCACGAAATCTCAGAAACTACAAGTGCTAGAAGTCTCAAATTTTGCATGGGGGTTTCTTTTCGAAAGAAGGTGCTTACTAAGACGGGATTTTGCAAAATTCAACCCCTAACGGCCGGTTCACACATGTCACCGTTTTACTGTTCCGTTTTATCGTGTACGCTTTTTTTCGTCGATGGCGTATGTAGTTGTATGAGCGACTTCACACATGACACAGTATTCTGTATACAGTAATACACATACAAAAAACGTACACGATAAAACGGAACAGTAAAACGGAGACATGTGTGAACCGGGGGTTAGGGTGTAAAACGGGATCCGTACGAAAGTCGCGGGCGGTCGCTAGTCTCGTATAAAATCATTATTTACCCTTATTAGTAACTATATTCAACAAAGTGTAATTTTGTTTTAAATAAGCAGTAAATAAACCATACCCTTTTCCAGCTGGAACTCGAACCCAAAGAAGAAGTGAAGTTCTGCGTGTCCCCCGGCGAGTCATCGGTCGTCGGTAACACAAGCCCAGAACAGCAGCACTGTTCGTCGACCACAGTGGCAGCGGCCAGCGGCGCGCGCGATGACGATGCGCCGAGACGGCTATGCCTTGTGTGCGGAGATGTGGCTTCGGGGTTCCACTATGGTGTGGCCAGCTGCGAGGCGTGTAAGGCGTTCTTCAAGAGAACTATTCAGGTTAGCAGAACTTTCTTTTGTGATCGTATTTTTGTATTGTTTCAATCAGACCTGTCTGACAAGAATCTCAGACTCACAAGTTTTCTGAATTACTTACCTAATAGCATTATACAACTTATTTAACAACAACTTAGGGAATTTAATAATGAAGAGAATATCCATTTTTTATTTACAACTTTGACCTAAATGAACACGATTCCAATTTCATTTTGAGTTTCAGTGCCGTATTAAAAAGAATCAGAAATCTGAACCAGAAAGGCATAAAAGGTCGGATCTAACCATCCGCCGAAAACCACTTTTTAGCATTACAATAATAAATAAGCATTGTTTTCTCTTTCTCTCAAACGAGCTCTTGTATTTCTATTTCTTTTCATTGTACAGATAATTTTGAGTGCTGTTTTAACCTCATGAAACTTCCACCCGTCTCATAATCGTGCTCGGGTGTCCCCGCTCTATCTCGCTGTCGACATCCAAACCGCACAATGCCTTTAATGATCGATGCCAATCCGCCAGCAGGGCAACATCGAATACACGTGCCCGGCGGCCAACGAGTGCGAGATCAACAAGCGGCGGCGGAAGGCCTGCCAGGCCTGCCGCTTCCGCAAGTGTCTGCGAACGGGCATGCTGCGTGAAGGAGTGCGTTTGGACCGCGTGCGCGGAGGACGACAGAAGTATAGGCGAGCGCCTGATGCGCCCGCGCCGCCGCGACCACACCTCGACGACATCAAGGTAAGCTGTCACTAGGTTCAGTGTGAGGTCAAAAAGCGCTGGCAGGTCTACCAGGCCTGCCGCTTCCGCAAGTGTCTGCGGACAGGCATGCTGCGTGAAGGCGTGCGCGGAGGCCGACAGAAGTATAGGCGAGCGCCCGATGCGCCCGCGCCGCCGCGACCACACCTCGACGACATCAAGGTAGGCTCTGTCACTAGGTTTGTTGTTTGGGATGCTAGTGCGAGGTCAAGAAGCGGCGATGGCAGGCCTGACAGGCCTGCCGCTTCCGCAAGTGAGAAGTACCGCCGCGCGCCCGATGCGCCCGCGCCGCTGCGACCACACCTCGACGACATCAAGGTAGAATCATTATCAACATCATTTCAGCCACAGGACGTCGACTGCTGTACATAGGCCTCGCCACGATAATTTCCGGATTGGGCATTTGGCAGTAGCCTGCATCCAGCGCCTTCTTGCAACCTTTTTGAGGTCTATTGTCCACCTTGTTGAACATTAATAAATCAGAATGTTCCTAAAATCGCTAAAAAGAAAAACACAATGAAGCCTATTACTACTGAAGAAGCTACTTACGCATTTTAATGAAAGCACAGATTTTTATAACTAGGCAACCCACAGCCATGCGCTTCCCGAAAGCCTTTCCTCTGTTAACACTCAAGAAAAGATATTCAAGCAATGATGTATGATGACATTCAGCGTAAAATACTTAGTAATTTTAATATACCTCTAATATGTTTTTACGTCCACTCCAGGTGCTTTGGGAACACTTCTAATATGTTTGTACTTCCATTCCAGGTGCTAGAAGCCCTCACATCATACGAGCCGGAGTTATTAACCTGCGCGGCGCCGCCGGCCGGCGTCAGCGACCCTACGGCGCGTACTCTGGCTTTATTGGCTGACTTATACGACCGCGAGCTGGTCGGCGTCATCGGCTGGGCCAAGCAGATACCAGGGTTCACTGACCTGCAGTTAAACGATCAGGTAAGCTTACTTCAACCATCAGGTGACGGGACTATTTCCAACTCTCGTTCCCACCGCTGCAACTACTGTGTAGCCAGGATCTACAGCTTAATCGCCAGTAAAAACCCAACCAGTGAAGGTCAACTTTGTCCCGGGGGAAAGTTAAACTGTCATTGGACCCGCAACGACATTAATCAGAAGAACATAGGATGAGTTCGATAACAGTGTGGTTAGCAAAATAAAATAGGACCACCTCCACTCGTCCCATGGATGTTGTATGAGGAGACTATGGGAGAAATATGCCCACATCAGGCCTCCCCAAACCTCCTGGGAAGTCTAGACCAAATCTTCCATTTACCAGATTGGGGCCGTTCTCCTACAGTGGAGACTAAAGATTCAGCCAAAACAACGCGATCAGCCGGCGTGTTGCGATGCGATCAATGTTTTTTAAGTCTGGTCGCCATCGCTGCACGCCCGGCTGATCGCGTTGGTTTGGCTGAACCTTTAAGGTGCAAGTTTGTAGCCGACTCCACACGGCAGCAGCAGACGTGTCGTCGTCGTGCAGAGAAAGTTGTTAGTCGCTGACACGCGTCACCTGCTGCTGCTGTATGCAGTCGTCTTTAATCTCGTGCCTAATGACCTGATAATAATGATAAACCAAAACCTTCCAGATGCGGCTACTTCAAAGCACGTGGGCAGAGATGTTAAGCCTGATGCTAGCTTACCGCTCCATGGCGGGCTCGGGCGCGCTGCGCCTGCGCTACGCCACCGACCTGGCTCTCGACGAGAAGCGCGCCACAGAACTCGGCGCGCACGACATTTACACACAGGTATTTATTTATTTATTTATAATAAATATCCTTGGACATTTTACACTGCGCTTCTAGTCCCAAACTAAGCAAAGCTTGTACTATGGGTACTAGACAACGGATATAAACATACTTATATACTTTTTTTTTTGTAAATACATACTTATTATACATAGAAAACACCCAGTCCAATACAAACAAATATGTTCATGCACACAAATGTTTGTACTGTGCGGGAATCGAACCCGCTACCTCCGGAATAGTTGTCCGTTTCGAACCACTACACCAAACGGCCGACTAAGTAACAAATGCACTTAATGCCGGATGGCATTCTCTGCCAGTCAACCACGGGTCATGCAGAAAGAGTAAGGCGGTGCAAAAAATTTACATTTTTGATAATAAACCTACTTACATAAGATTACATAAAATAAATAACATAATACAAATAAATATAATAGACATACACATAAATACATAAACATAATAATATTATAGATGTACACATCACTCATGTCTGAGATAGCGAGAAAATGGAGAAAAAAAGGTCATTCCTTGAAATGTTTGCGCAGAGCCTTTTTGAAAGTAAATTTGGAAGAAGGTTTGCGTAAGGTATGTAAAAAATGTGCCCTGCCCACTGTCACTTCAGCTTGCTGATCCGTCGGGCTATGTCAGCGACTTTAGTTCGTTTACGGATCTCCTCATTTCTGATTCGAATTCGATCTCGCAAAGACACCAAGCATAGCCCTCTCCATAGCACGCTGTGCAACTTTGAGCTTCTGTATAAGACCTATAGTGAGGGGCCACGTTTCCGAGCCATAAGTCATCACAGGTAACACACATTGGTTGTAGACTTTCGTCTTCAGGCACTGGGGTATTTCGGACGAAAAGATGTTGCGTAGTTTCCCGAACGCTGCCCAGCCGAGTTGGATTCGACGATTGACCTCCTTCTCGAAATTGGACCTACCTAGCTGGATCGTTTGTCCGAGGCTGCAGAACTGACGGCCGATGGGGCAGCAAGGTTCTGGAATGGAGGCCACGTACCGGAAAACGCAGCGTGGGACGTCCACCCACAAGGTGGACCGACGACCTGATAAAGGTAGCGGGAAGGCGCTGGATGCAGGCCGCTACCAACCGTGCGATGTGGAAGTCATTGAGGGAGGCCTATGTTCAGCAGTGGACGTCCTGTGGCTGAAATGATGATGATGATGATGATGTAAAAAATGCCAGTTTGGCGACTCATAAAACTCATTGTATTTTTGCAAGTAGGCTTTAAAATGCACTTACACGTCCCAATACTGACTCGAATGGCTGTGGGCGGGGCATGTAGCTCAGAGCTAATGGCACTTGGGGTAGAAAAGTTCTAGATTGGCAACCACGACGGTAGTGTGGCAGGGGAACTAGGTCGACCGAAAATCTGGTGAAGATCGCGGAAAGTACCTGGATGCGGGCAGCGCAGGATCTCTCGTGGAAATCCTTGGGGGAGGTCTTTATCTAGCACTGTACGTCATTTGGCTGAAACGAACAAACGATGTCCTAGCAGTGGACGTCCTTCGGTTGAAACGAACGAGGTCTTTTCTTGAACATTGCACACCTTTGTGAAACTAGTTTTAGGGCGCCTTAAAGCGCTGCAGTGGCGCCACTGAGGCTATGGCAACAGCCGCACGTCTTTGTGACCGTGTCACTTTAGTACAGGCGCTACAACTGCTCTTATTAAAGTGCTATGGAAACTACTAGTGACGCTAGTGCAACGCTACCTCACGCGTCTAATTTGAAGGCGCCTTTCCTCTCGGGAGTTGCTTCGTGATGACTAGCGCGCCACAAAACGTTTTGTGGCCGCGTCGGTCGCGGGATTTGACGCTGTTGCCACAGAATAACAATAAGTACTACGTACAGAAGTTTTACTTCGCGAAGGTATTTAAAAAAATGTATGCTCAATGTCGGTNTTTACGTGCAATATGTGGGCATATTGTAAAAGTGGAATGCCGAGTTGTATTTCTAAAACTTGTTCTATTATTTTATACTATTTGGCTGCGACTCGGCGTGACGACAATACAAAACATTTTTCGCGAATCGGTGTTCATACATTCACACAATACATTAGACGCCATGTTGTCATAAACGACATATTATAAAATCGCTGTGATTTAATATTCTTAATCATTAATTTTATGGCAAGTGTCCATCAGGAATCATTGTTCTTACACACAGAATCGTATTATTTCGCTTTCGGGTAGTAATATGTCAAAATTGTTGGTTCTTTAGGCGAACAATGTATGGAGAACGAACATTGTCCTTTCCCATCGATATTGTGTATTGGAGATTGGCTTATTAATTTGTTGGGAAACTTTCTCGCAGGATTCATTTCAACTTAATCTGTAGAATTAGGTTTCAGATTTCTCATTTAAAGTTCTAGATCTGAAATCATCCTTTTTATTGAGTTCTAATCTCTACTGCAAAGTTTTATATTGCAGAATACATAAAAAGAGCAGTTTGTCTTGCCAACTGCCTAATCATTTGATAGTCACGTTTTTAGATTCGTTCCCCCGTGTTTTTCTCCCAGTGCAGCGGATATGAAGTCATTGTCGTGTCCCTGAAAACCATAGACAACACTAAGACGGTGCGAAAGGTCATGGTTCTAACGAGTTCAGTAGTAATTCACGGATACCGTAGATTATGAAACAGAACGCAATTAGCGATGCACATTGTGTAGATATCACCACACTTAAAGACGCGCTTACGTCATCCTGTCTTTATCATACATAACACTGCAATGTCAAGGGGGCGTTGAACTCGCGCGCTGCATCCTTGAAACTTTTTTTACCTATATCGTAGATAGACACATTTTGTTTTTCCAACAAACGAATAATAAATAATCTAGATAGCGCTTGTTTTCGTTTCGACGCGATACAGAACTAGTCGTGGAGAATTTAATGACCAAGTGACCTTTATTTATTTTTGTGCCGGATTTCTATTTGATTTGGAATTAAAGCTTTTAAATAATGTTTGTTGAGACTATAGTGTGTATTTACTGTTTATGTAACTTAATCGTAGCAATTATTTTGCGTTCGGTTTTATGTAACTCTGCAATTAGCGAAATCTGTTGGAGGATTTGTTTTGATTCTTTTGTTATTCGGAGCTTGAGTGGAATTTCTTTATTGAAGATACTTTTTTCTCAGTCTCTCCTTTAATTTTTATGCAACACGTTACAGTTACGATGATACAAAAAAACATTAATTTAATTAGGTCACAAAGTTTTAAATATGGATGGATTGATGATTGATGGATTATGGATGGACTTTCACCTTTGATGTTGTGGACGGATTTTCCATGTTTACTTCTTCATCAATATACCTCACGCATTCTTTGCTTATAATAATATTACCTTGTTTCAGGTGCAGATGATGTCCGCTGTCAGCGGGGAGCCCATGCTGCGCCGAGTGAAGCAAGAAGCGGAGCCGCCACCACAGTACTCGTCGCCGGAGCCGCAGCCGCCGCAGCCGCTGCACCAGCGGCCGATACCGATGATGCAGCCGTCAGAGGTGAGTTGGAACATGTTGCTTCATGATCCCATGCTGCGCCGAGTGAAGCAAGAAGCGGAGCCGCCACCACAGTACTCGTCGCCGGAGCCGCAGCCGCCGCAGCCGCTGCACTACATCTTATGACGCAACTTTTGAGGGGTCTTGTGTAGCGAAAATATAAAAAAAGATATTTCGGGACACCCTACTGTACAAGCGTCAGATTCTGATGATGCAGTCCTCAGAGGCAGGTCAAAACAGGCAAAAACTACATTAAAGCAAAAAGGTTAATATAGAAACAGGAGGAGTAGCTAGGGAATCGAGTCCAACAATGATGAATCCCCCAGTGGTAACATCAAACATGTATAGCACAAATTAAGTTTAAAGAAAGAACGGTTAATGTGCACATAGGAGGAACAGGCAAGGAACTGAGTTAGTCCAACAGCCGCGCAGCAGCTGACTCAAGTAATGCAGTACTCAAAGATGAATCAACACAAGCACTACATTTAAAGCGAGGAGTTAGCAGAGAATATGTTAGCAGGAAGCTAAGGCAGTCCAACAGCCGCTTCAATGGCGGCTGATTCAGGTGATGCAGCCTTGAAGTTAAGAGGAAATTGCTGCGTGTGGTGCTGCTAGTAATATCAGCAGCAATTGGAGCAACAATATTTGCGTCGCTGTTACTTGCCCCCACATAGCTCTGACATAGCCCATTGTCTCTCCTCTTGGCAAGATGCGTAAATCATTCTCCGTAGAATGAATAATGAACATAGGTACATATTTGTCGGAAATATTGTCAATTTTTAGAAATCTAGTCGGAACTCCAGTCACTCAGATTTTTATGAAGTCTTGATAATAATAGAGCAAGCCGGCTCGAGACAATAGATTTTCTCATTATTATTGTATTCATATTGACATACTTATTATAGTGTAATCTATTTTAAATCTAATACAAATACACAATTTAATTAATCCATATCCGAGACAGCTCAGTATTGTTTTGTAACAAAGTATAATGTTAATCTATGCTTGTTTTATCAAGTTTTCAGTTGATACGTGAGTCAGTGTGCGATTGCGATGCACTTGTATGCGTTATGTGCAACAAATAAGGCTCATAACGATTATCCGATAATATATCTTTGTCCTATATAAGTGACATATCTTTCTTTAGCGGTATCGAACAATTATATCGATTGATTGTATCGCATCGACTAAGTTAGTGAAATTGAACATTTAGGTATTTAGACACGTGAATCCCGCAAATTCGGTATCCCGTGCGTCACTTTAAACGCAAAATACACTTGAGGCGCTAAGGCCCAGTTTCCACCAAGGCGGAGCAAGAGAAGAAGAGAGAGAGAGAAGTTTTTTGAATAACTGATTGGATTCCATTATTTGCACATCTCCACTCCATCATCATCATCATCATTTCAGCCATAGGACGTCCACTGCTGAACATAGGCCTCCCCCAATGCTTTCCATGTTGATCGATTGGTAGCGGCCTGCGTCCAG